CCCCCCTCCCGGGGGGGGGGGTTCAGACGTAAGCAGACTCACTGGACTGCGTCCGGCCGAGCGCTGGCGCGGGGGTCGGGGGGGACAGGTCTTTTTTACGGACCTCCACCAGCGATTTCCGTCGCGCTTGGACCCCCCGGACGGCGGCTTTGACCTTGCGCCAGCCCAGGTGGTTGAGTTCGGCCAGGTTGAGGAGGACGCAGACCCCGCTGACGGCGAACATGAAGACCAAGAAGACGGTCTTCTCGGTGGGACGTGACACGTAACACTCCACCTCTTTGACACACGGGTAACGGTCGCACTCGAAATTTTCGAAAATGGCCGGGACGTTGAAGCCGTAGAGGAAATATTGCCCGGCCAAGAAACCGATCTCCAGGGCGTTACGGAAAACCACCTGGATGACGTAGAAACGGGAGATACCTTCTTGGCGTTTGGTTTTAGAGCTGCGAGGAGGTCGTGGTGGTGGCCCGGGAAGTTCTTTGGCTTCCAAACAATCGGGTTCTTCCTTGCAGACTCCATCGGGGCTGGGGGACAGAACCCCGTTGAGGGTCTTGGTCTTCTTGGCGTCGCGTTCCAAGAGCGGGTAGAGGAAGGAGTAGCGGCGCTCGCGTTGCTTGGCCGACTGATGGACCGAGTAGGTGATGAAGCAGAGGCTGGGGGTGCAGACCAGGATGATCTGGAAGACCCAGTAGCGGATGTGGGAGATGGGGAAGGCTTTGTCGTAACACGCTTGGTTGCAACCAGGCTGGAGAGTGTTGCACATGAACATGGTCTGCTCGTCCTCGTAGACCGTCTCGCCCACGATGGCCACGATCAGGATGCGGAAGATGACCACCACCGTCAGCAGGATCCTGCCAGAGGGGAGAGAGGGAGGAAGGAGATGTGACGAGCTGGACCTGGACACCTGGGTCCTACCTGGACCTGGACACGTGGGTTGGACCTGGAGACCTGGGTCCGGGTTGGACCTGGACACAGGGGTTGGACCTGGACACATGGGTCCTACCTGGACCTGGATATGTGAGTTGGACCTGGAGACCTGGGTCCTACCTGGACCTGGATGTGTGGGTTGGACCTGGAGACCTGGGTTAGACCTGGATATGTGAGTTGGACCTGGAGACCTGGGTCCTACCTGGACCTGGACATGTGGGGTGGACCCAGACCTGTGGGTTGAACCTGGAGACCCGGGTCCTACCTGGACCTGGAGACCTGGATTGGACCTGGATATGTGGGTTGGACCTGGAGACCTCAGTCCTACCTGGACCTGGACACGTGGGTTGGACCTGGAGACCTGGGTTGGACCTGGAGACCTGGGTCCTACCTGGACCTGGACATGTGGGGTGGACCCAGACCTGTGGGTTGAACCTGGAGACCCGGGTCCTACCTGGACCTGGAGACCTGGATTGGACCTGGAGACCTGGGTCCTACCTGGACCTGGACATGTGGGGTGGACCCAGACCTGTGGGTTGAACCTGGAGACCCGGGTCCTACCTGGACCTGGAGACCTGGATTGGACCTGGAGACCTGGGTCCTACCTGTACCTGGATATGAGGGTTAGACCTGGACACACGGGTCCTACCTGGACACGTGAGTTGGACCTGGGTCCCACCTGGACCTGGACACATGGGTTGGATGTGGACATGTGGGTCCTACCTGGAGCCAGACAGGTGAGTTGGACACAGACATATGGGTTCTACCTGGACAGGTAGGTCCAATGTGGACACGTGAATATATGGGTCAAACTGGGACACGTGGGTCAACCCAGGCCATGTTGGGTCCTACCTGGACCTAGACACGTAGGTTGGACCTGGAGACCTGAATCCTACCTGGACCTGGACAGGTAGGTTGGATCTGGACAGGTGTGTCCTATGTGGACACCTGAATATGTGGGTCAAACTGGGACACGTGGGTCAACCCAGGCCACGTGGGTGTGACCTGGACCCCCAGGTCCTACCCAGGCACCTGAGATCTTCCCAAACCTGGACACGTGATTGAACCTGGACCTCCAGGTCCCACCTGGGCCTGACCCAAACCCAGACCCCCAGCTCCCACCTGGACCCCCAGGTCCCATCTCCCAACGTGCCACCACCCCTGACCTTGACCCATCTTGGGGCTCTGGGTGCCCATGGATACTTGGGGTGGGGGACAGGTTTGGGGTGACACAGGGACAGGTTTGGGGTGACAGGTTTAGGGTGACATGGGGGACAGGTTTG